GTTTAATTAGCAGTCCATTAAGAAAATTCAGGTTACCCTCCGTTTCTGTGGAACTCGATTTTTTTTGTTAACATACTATAAAATTCCCCTTCATATGACGATATTTGGGAAAAAAAATCATCCTGATAACATTAATAAGTTCGTAGATATCGGCTTGTAACAGGTTTGGCGCAAAACCGTGTATATCAGTAAAAATACATGTACTCCAAACTGAATAATTTCTTTTTAGATCTTAACAATTTTGTAACGACTGTTTATGCTTAGTTCATATTCAATAATAATCTTAATACTTCTGAACGGGAGTGTGCGTTGTGTGTTGGAAACTTACAAGGAGATGGCAACATCTTGAAAATCTCGGTCGAGTTGGTTTTATGTACATTCAATCCATTAAGAATCTTAATGGAGTGTTTCCCAAAGTTGGGTCCGCGAAAAAACCTTCTGGAATTCCGCGAGGTAAGGTGCCTTTTAATAGAATTTAATAAAAATTTATTTCAAAAACAATTTTTGTTTCATTGCCAACAGTTCGAAACCGAAAAAATTAGAAATTTGAGAAACTTTTAATGAATCTTTTATCACTCAAATCTACCAAATTATACTAAATAGCTACAAATATCTGCAACTTTAAAAACTTGAACATCTTAAAAAAATTGATAGATTCAATATTGGTATAAACTGATAAGTGGTTCCATATTTTTTACCAGTAGTGTATATGTACGTAACAACAGAGACGGCGCCGGAAACAACCGGCAAAGTACATTTGCTATTTGGAGAAGAGCATCAATTGAAGCGATAGCTACAAACGAAATCGTTTCGATAACGAGTTCGTTCACTCATCTAAGTCAGTGAACTCGAAAATGATCGTTTTAATTCGGCTGGCTCGCTGTTTGTGTCCAGTATTAAACGCAGTCAACCGTTTCTATAAATTATATAGAAATAAATTGCCCGCCTTTCAAGAAATGGAACTTGCACGATTTTATAACAGAGAATTTCTACACGATGGAATTGTTCTTCATTTTTCACCATGTACAAAATTTATGTTGAACTATATATTCGGTTGGAATTTAGTTTCTGATATTCTTTTTTCGAATACGGGAGATTTCGCGCGATTATCGAATATTAGTAGAGGTGGTGAATTTTTTATACTACACTCTTATGGAATATTCTATCTGGACAGCGTGAATGATTCCTGGCCTGAATATTCGCACTTTCGCACGCGCTTCGATGCGTCTGTAATTTCGAACTGAATTACAAAACAACTTCTCTCTCTGCAGGGCTTAATACGGGACGAATTAAAGCGATAAATCCTAAACTCGCGTACAGCAAATAAAAACAACCTATCTGCACGTAAATATGAATTTTGCCGCGAATTTTATACCGTAGAAATATTGCGTACGCGATATTGGCACAATTCGTTCCTTAAAACTTTATTTAACGCGTGGAAAAAAATATCGGACTTTTCTTGATAAATTCAATAAAATTACGATGTATTAGAAATTTTATAATTTTAATTTTTCGAGAAAAAGTGGGCACTGAAAAATGATTAATTTACACCTCGGCAACGTAAGGAAAGAGGGAAATGTAAATGAGGAAAAGCGTTAAGTGGAAGCGGGCCGTGCCTGGTCAGACACAATTCACAACCATAGTATCAGAGAAGATATGCATCTTTCTGCAACTTCTGATTAAACTTGAAACTTGTAATTTCTTTTAAATTGCAAATGATTTCAAGGATTGCTGTTTTAATAGAAATTTACAATTAAACCCACACTTCACGTGGAATTCTCAAGTAACAGTGTTCAAGTCTTCTAAACATTTCCTCGGCAATTCTTAAACAATAATAATATTCAAATACATACACAAACGTTTCATCCTACTTATTGTTAATAATTACTGCTCTCCCTAGAAAAATATCTACCATAATCGCCCGATCCCAAAGTTGCACTATTTTACCTAAATTTGAATTAAAATTCTCCAATCTCCCTTAACAATTCCTGAAGGATAATTTTTCAATGAACGGACAAATTCGTTCAAAGAGGCGTATAAAACATTTCAAACGGACTGTAAAATCCTTCCATCCGTACTACGTAATACTACGATGAAATCTAGCAGAAAATAATTACGCCGATATCGTTTAACGCTTAACGATTCACGTCGTTCTACAATGATTAAAAACGGAAACGGAGAAAGAACGTAAAATAAGAAAGAGGAAGAAGAGCAACGGTGGGGGGGGATTTGTCTATTTAATGTCTGGACATCGATCGAGCAACATTGTTCGGATTGAATCGCGACCAGCCGGCTGTCGAGGCATGAATAATCCAGAAAGCGGAATAATTTCGCGTTGAATTCAAATCTGAGATCGATGACGCCTACACCTACGGACGATCTAACCCAGTTTCACCTTCGAGGCGTGTACACGCTGCCAGTTTTCCCGCAGAACGAAGCCAGGTCGATAAAAACATACGATTTTACACCTTTCTCCACTTATCCTTAATGTTTCTCCGTCTCGAATACGAATATCTGATATTATTCCAATTTTCTTTTTCTGTAAAAATTAATCCTACCTTAATTACCTAGGTCCCCGTTAGCAGGGAAAATTTCCGATTCGAAAAAATCTAAATTTACCTTCAAGAATTTATAATTCACAATTTCACGAATTTTACATTTTCGTGACAAAAGCGAAACATGTTTTAATGAAGAATCAAAGAAGTTTTGTAGCGACGACAAAATGGTTCTACCAAAAAAGTAGGAAGAAGTGGAACAAGTAGACGATTACGTTCCTTTTTCATAAAGCTCAAAGCAATGTTTTAAATATTTATCTACGTTCCAGTATAAACTTCAGTACGAACTTATGGGATGACATAATAATTATATGAAATTTGAAAATATAACAACTCGTGGAATTATGAATTACCAATTTCTGAAGATAAATTGAGATTTCCTGAAATTTTCCAATATCGACAAAAATGATGTTTCTCTAATTATTTAATTTTAATTAATTCGTGGATCTCAAGCTAAAATGTTTCAATTTATGAATTAATACACGTCTTTGTTATTTTCGTTACGGAGATACGCTTTCTGGTTGAGAAAATTAATATCGAGAAATTCCAGTAAAAATTTGCGAATCCAGTGATATTTTTCTCGTCTAGATTTATTAAATCGCCCTGTGTTTTGTTCGTTCTGTGTTGTTCGCAAACGAGAATACATCCCTTGAAAAAAAGCCCGCTTAAATCAAAATTCCGGCCGGTGCTGTATCCTACCTTTCGCTTTTTATCTCGAATTCCAGCCAATTTATCGTTGTAATACGTTAAAAAAGAGAAAAATGGTATGTCTAGTGCTCGTTAGCATGGAAATAGAATGATTAAATCGAAACGAAGCTTGAAAATTATCCGGCTCTTATCGATAGAGAATGCATAGTTGATGACTCATTTTGGTCAGATTTTCCATTAATATTGAACAGCAAATACATACTTAATGTAACAAGAAATTAAGCTTTTTACCAACATATTTTTCTAACCATTCGGAATAAATAATTTCGAATCTTCTGATTTTTCAATTATAAACTAAAATAAAATCCTTCCGATTGCTCTTTATTCACACCTTTTTTACAGATAGACGATTGACAATTTTCCGTAAGATCCAACATTTGCTTAAAAATTCCAAAATGATGAAGTTCGTATTCGAAATTGGATTATTACTTTTTTCACGTTGTACTCAAATCTAAACATACCCTGGAGGATTTGATTTTCCCTTTTTAACGTCAGAAACGTAAGTCTGCTCTTTATCTCGATTTGCAGGAGGAAAATTAGACACTTGAAATTAAACTTTAAATCTCCTGTCATCGTATTAATACCCCAAGATAAAGATTGCAATGTATTTTTCCTGTACAACTACGTGCAATTATTTCAGTGATAAAACAACATTTACTCGTATTAAATTGCATTTTCTGGCTATAAACTATTTACGATTGTCAAATTTATTTGCTGAACATCCAACGATAAAGTTTGCTCCATTAAACTTGCAAATTTCAAACCTAATCATAATTCACGCAGTGTACACTTTATAGTACCTAAATTATACCTGAAATAAAATTCTATTCCACCAAACTAAATTAAAGTTCATTCTTTTTCATTATTCACATACAATTTCGAAAACTGTTTGCATCTCGAAACATACGAGACACAAATATGTATGTACGTGAAATACTTGAAATATGAAAGGAATAAAGAAATTCACTCCTCGCGTTCGTAAAATAACAGTGTTGAAAAATGCAAAATGACGCTGGAAGCTAATTTTCATGGAACACTTTGACCGTACACGAAACACGTTTGACTTCTGCGAAAATGAATATCTTAACAGCGTTCGAGTTCCTCAGGCGTGAATGCACGCACGAGAATTCTATTTACGTAAATTCTGATCGATCTGACACTTTCTGTCTTTCAAACGCGTAACGGAAAACAGTCTTTCATTCGAACTCTCTTTCACGTTCTGCACTATTGCTTTGCAACTATTGTATGCACCCTTCTTTCGCCACTGTGCGAAACAGTTACAATATTTTCTAGCTATTCGCGAAAATTTAATACATATTTCATTTTCGTGACTTCCATTCAGTTTTGCGAGTCATGCATGATAAGAAGAAAATCAAATTCTTGAACCTACTCTCGTTGCAGTTCGTTGATTTAATTAAAAAATTAAGGCAAATTATATGAAGTCTGGCAATGTTTCTACTGTTTTATCAATATGTAATTTGGTTATATAAAGTTCTTTTAGGCGTATTTTACTAAAATGATGTATACTTACGGGCTGCAAATGGACTTACACCACTTTCAAAATTAGACAATTGTAAAAATCGTTTAATTTCAATTTTGAAAAATCAAATATCACTTAAAATATACTTCATATTAATCCAATTTTGTTTACAAATAATGACACGATATAAAATAGAAGTAGTATTTTAAATTTTAGACGCTAATTACATTGTTAAAATTACAAGATATTGATATTATTTACTTATGCTCTGCATGTGGCAGTGTTTCGAAATATGCATGATGCACCGGAGGTATATAAGGTAATAACTGCTTGATGTCTTTATATTTTTCATAAGTAATAGGCCTGGCATCTTGGTACAATGGCGCCAGGGCGATTTTTTCAAATTTTAGCGGTCTTCCAGGACGTGTAGGTAATAAATTTATAGTTTTAAATTCTTTGTCCTTCATCGATGTTTTATATAAAATAGTGTATGGTGCACCTTTGAGAAACCTCATCCAACATATTTGCAACCAATTTACCTGTTCTCCATTAGTGTTTTTTCTTATCTGTTTTTTAATTGCATTTTGAAGATTTTTTATTGAAACGAAATTCTCTCGTTTCATTTCATGTAAAATGAATTTATCATGTTTTCTACATTGTGTTATTACATCATAATAATCCTGTGGTGTGTACAGAAAATTCTTTTTTCGCAATGTAAAATAACAGGCTACTGATCGGCAACTATCTGCTAAGCCACCTACCTCTGTTAATTGGACTTACACCACTTTCATAATCGATGATTATGCAATTTCATTTACCGACCAATTTTAAATTGTACAAAACATGGAAATTTTTTAAGAAATTAAACACGGACTAGTTATACATAAAAAATTTACATTAAATTAAGCATGAATTAGGTGATATCTCATTTTTTTCAAAAATGGACTTACACCACTTTCAAAATAAACGATCCATATATTAAACCTCCGAGTACTTCTCTCGAGCCAAACTCGCCATTCAATTAGGAGGTTATTATCAGTTGCATTAATCTAATCTCAATTAAGTTGCTTTAATCTCACTGTAATTTGTAAATTTCTTCAAATTAAAGAAGATTGCGACTCTTTGGATGAATTTGAAATAAGACGTAAATAATTCAACATCGAATGAGAATCCCGGAGTGATCTACTTTCATCGAAATATTTTTCTGTGCTTTATAAACATCGATGTTTGCCCAAACATCCTCAAGCTATTTCGAACAAAAATGAAAGAATCGGGTTGCAAGCTTTCCCTTTAAAGCGTCAAATTCCCATTGTCCGATTCACCCGAAACCGATCTTTAATTCGCCATTCATGAATTAAACGCTCAACGTGAATGTACTACAAGTACGCAACAATGCTTTAATCAGGCTCTGAATGCCTAATCAAACCTAACGAAGTCACCTGAGTAATTGAACCGCGGATCATGCTTGGAACAGCGAGCAAAAGTCGTGAAATTTCACACTCCGAGAGTGTTAATCGTGTCGGTAATTATGAAGATCACACTCATTCCTTTCTTCGCGTCACATGGATTTACATCGATTAATAAGCCGGCTATTACGACTAAAATAAACAGCATAACTAAGTCGATTAAGTCGTGTAATATGAAACGTCGAATTTTTAATTATTCACAAATTGATCGCTCAAAGGATTAGTTAAGCGTTGAAAAGTTGTGAGCTATTCTTAGAAAATCTAGGGGTTCGCATTAAGCGCCAATCAAGACGAAGTTGACATTTCAATTACACGATCTAACATAAAACTAGCCAAAAATGTCCAATTCTCCTATGTTACCATTAATTTTATGTCAAAGTAAGTGTAATACAAGTATAATATATATGTACAATTCAAAAATTCTTCAAATTTTTCTAAAACCAACGGCGATAATATTTTCTTCCAAATTGTTATGAAATATGTGTTCAACAGTAGTTTATGATACTTGTGTTGTTTCAGATTTCACCGATTCAGTTACCGCACGCTAAACAACGAAAACAAAATCTCCAAAAAGAAGACACGTACCACCTGAAGATTTCGTGAAACGAGGCCGCAGGGTCAAGCTTCACAGCAGCATAGTTTCTGTTCTCTGTTCACTCACCCCTCCACAAATCACCAAAAACATCAAAGGGCCATATCGCGCAAAACCACCAGGGGGACCGCTTGCTCTACGTGGCGCGAAACGAAAACAAACGACGAAACGGGGTGAACCGAGGGTACCACCGCATATTATCTCGAGGTTCTACTAGCAGCGTGAGGGAATCGTTGAACCGAAAGAACATCGAACTCTCGACGCACTCGGGGTAAAAAAGACTCGAGGGACAGAGACGGCCTAATTGTCGAGAATCGACATTAACGTGGCGAACGTTATCTCGTGAACTAATGAAAATTTTTCAAACAGCACACGGACCGATGAAAGGTGACAGTACGAAGAGAATTTCGAACGGAATTATATGTGACACACGGACACACGCAACGATAGGGAACGTGTTCGACGAGATCACGAGCGCGCGAATACCGCGACCTTTCTCGCTCGAGGATCAGTCGAAGACTGCTCGACCGAAAGTGGGAGGCCTCTTTTTCGAAAGCATCGTTTTCTCCACGGTGGCGAAGCTTCCGGACAGAGGTAACCGGGCATGCGTGCCACGAGCCACCCGATCAACGCACTGTGCACACAGGGTGTGCCAAGAAGCGCGCCGTTCGGGCCGGATGAACATCGAGCGTGTATAGGGTGTTTCATGAGTCATTTGGAGAACCACCTTGCCGGTATATTTTAACACATTGCCAACCGATTAGGTGGATTTACTATTTTCTACCGTATCGTGGATGTAACGAATGATATTTCATTCTCATATACATCTCAAACCCAACCCCAGTTTTTATCTTACTTCTCTTTCTTTACTTTATCAGAGCCGCGGGGAACTATTTACGCTATGATAAATAAAAAAGACTGAAGTGTTCGAATTACTTCGAATGGAAAATTATAATGCTGGGCTTGGATCAATCTGACTCTTAGGTACAGTATTATAAGAAATTTTGTTTCGTGATATTGTTAGATATAATGAACCATTATTTATTCTACTGGAAAAAGGTTTTCTACTGGCTTTTCTAGAAATCTTTTTAGCAATCTCAGTTGAATTGAAAGAATGGTACTTTTTGAGTACGGTGAGTATGTTGAGAAATATTTCGAGTGACCGAGTATCTTAATAGGAATAATTGAATTTACGAATTCGATTGTATCATTTCAATTTAAATATTGACCGATCTTAGCACTTTACAACGAGAAAAAGAACTTAAAAAGTAAACATTATTCTCATTATTTTCATTTGTACATTACATTTGTACGTACACACCATTTTCTTGAACGATAATTGCATAGTAGTTAAGTACAACAGGTCTTTTCGTTTTTCGTTTCGCCTGAAAATTTTACCTTTTCGTACCTGAAACGTCGTGGCTTGGAACCCATCAATTATCGTTAAGCCTTAACGCTCATTCACACTTTATACCCTTTAAATCTTTCATTAACCTGTATATAAATATTTTAAGTGACTAAACTCAGTGGAATTTTTTTTTAGCTATTGACTTCGAAATTAAAGTTAAAGGAAAATTGATCAGGTTTAAAAGAGTTAAATATAAAAGATGATCACGTAAACGAAAGTCGTCGAGGGATTTTATTGCAGATACGGATAATTCTTATTTAAGAAGCAATTTGTCAAGAATATTGCAAGCCTTATTATTCTTTCTCGTTCCATATGAACTATGACTTTACTAAGGGACTTCTTTAATAGAGCGTTTTTGTCGAATTTTGTCGCGAAAGGTTGTAGGACTGAGGAAGAAAGCATTTTCAAGTATGCTCAATAAGAATATTTTCAAAAAATTTGGACATCTAATTTTGAATGTTTGCACATAACGAAAAGTGTTCAAAATTGTAATAAACGATTCAAATCAAAATTAAAAAATGCTTCGAATGATTTTGATTCCCATATATTTAGCAAATCTTTCGTTCCAGTATTTAAAATATCAGTAGATAAATAACAAATTCTTTTAAAAAACTAATTCGATCACAAAAAGGTTAAATCTATCTAAGGACCAAACTAATGGGCAACTTTAAACTATTCTGACCTAGATATGAGTTTGGATTATCCTGTACCATTAATATTCCATGACCCAAAAAATGTAACTATTTCAACAGAATTTTTAACTGCACTTGTAATCCCTTTTTACATCTACTTCAATTCAAACAGAATATCAGAAATTATTTTTATTCAACCAATACAAAGTTTATTTCTTCTGACTGTCACTTATTTTACCATATGACAAGAAACGTGTTCACGAATTTCAATATTTTTCAGGAATATTTACACGTGATTATTCGTCGAACGAAATCTCCAGTTTGCTCTTCGGCGTTCGATTTATCGATATTCATATTTTCTATATCCCTCGAGCTTACGTGGCGCGAAATACAGACGAATATTCATGTAGACTGATTCGCATTAATTTACAGAGTGGAGCTGGAACAATATTCGGTGTTCGTCACGAATACCGAATATCGTAATCAGACTTGCGTGTTTTAACGCGAATATTGAATATTCGTATACTGTTTCGTAACAGACAATTGTCTCTCCCTATTTTGTGGGTCTGTTTTGAACGCAGAGTAACTAAATTTGACTAATGGACAATATACACCATCATCCAAAAATTTTGGAATTTACAAGCTTAATTAACTTAACTGAAGAAAAGAAAATTATTCTACTACTTTTTGGCTTGTAAACTGTACTGAGGAAGAAAATTGAAAATATATTACTTTGAATGCCACGAATTTATAATATAATCATAAAATATATTAAAAGTTGCCAAAGAGAAAGTTAATTGACAGCTGATTATTGAAAAATGAATATGTATCTGTCAATAACACTGAGTAAAAACTTCTGTCTTCATTTTCTTTTTTAGATAAGAATTGCATTGTAGTATAGAGTATTTGTTTAGAATAAAATAAAATTAGACGAATTTTATGAACTATAAGTGACGCTCAGTATCACATATCTACATTGTAATTTATATACTACATTTGCATTTCGTGAAGCTCGAATATCATAGCGCTTGGGGAAAGTTCCAATAGTTTGCTAGAGAAATGTATAAATATAAATTGACTAGTTTTTTAGAAATATTTTACGAATTTTTACATCTTCATATGCTGTAAAATGATTGTAAAACCGAATTACGAAACATTCCGCATGAGATCCTACTATTGCTTATTTAATCTACACACTGTGGTACCATCTATTTAAAAGCAAGGTAGTATAAAAATAATATAAGCACAGAAAAAATTCAGCACTTTGCAAAGCTCTTAAACCTGATTCCAAACTAACAACTAAAGGAATGCAGCACAGAATATTTGCACTTGTTACTTCTAGATTGATATTTGCTGCTACAAATTTCCTAGCTATTTATTTATTTAACAGCAAATTTTGAAAAATAAAAATTCACTTACCAGCCAGCAATGCCATTTGGTTGTATCTCCTGCAAGAATATGCCAAGCTCTCCTTTATCCTTACTGCGAAGACCAACCACACTGAATCCTAGACTGGTTCCCTCTAGTTTATACAACTTGAGGAAAGCAAATGTACTCAGTATCTTCAAATGTCAGATTAATATTGGTAAGCTCCAGGTATATTTCACCAACCTGCACAGTAAATATCTGACGACCTCTTGCTGCAGCTTCAATAACTTTCTTGAATTCCTTAGCATATGTTGTCGTTGTAATTGGAGGCATACCCATAACCTCTGAAACAAGACTTGGACTTGTAACCTGTAACAAAGTAAAAGCTTAGTATTAACTACAGAAATAATATTAAAATAAATTTTAAGTATACTTGAGATTAAATTCTACCTGTGCACTAGTGTCTTCGCTGCTGCTATGTACCAATGGAACAACTGGAACTCTTTGATCTTCTAATTCACTGCTGTCTTGATATAAATCCTGATACACATTTGATCCAAGTGGTTGCACTGGTGTACTATGAGTAGAAAGCTCCAGCTGCCCACTAATGTTAATATCAAAGTCCCCAGGAAGAATAGATGGGTGTTGTCCCAACTGAGTATTTAGTTCGATCAGGGAGTCTTGAATTGTCACTATGCTACGAAATACTGGATCCTCCAGAAGGGCAATTAAAGATCTTATATCTTGAGTTGTAAGCAGTTGTAGCTTAGGATCATCGCAATCTTCCATCCTTTCTTGAACATGCTCCAATAAATGAAGAGCAGTAGATATGTCTGAAAAAAAAGAAAACAAATTGATACATTAAACATAAGTGAATATAAAGGAAATGAATATAACATATAATAAGGATTGTGATTATCACAAATAAATGTATACACAATAATAATTATTATACAAAGAATATTAACATTATTATCAATTAATTAAAATATTTCTCAAAATATTAAAGTAAACATAATTTATATTTACCTGCACTGAGAGGCATCTTGTTGCTGTCAGATTTACTTCAGTTAAATGAGTATAAAAAGTCTTGTATAACCACCTGTAAAAAACTGTGTAAATATACATGTGTAGTACTTCATTTACTTTTTTATATTTTAAATCGATACACTTGTCTTTTTAATTCAACGAAATACAGTTGTTAAAATACAAAATGTTTCTTAACCTCTATAACAGATAGTTGCTGAAAACTACTGAATAGGATGTGTCAGTTCTTTTCGTTACTTTAATCGTTTAAATATGATTAACAACATTTTTAACGTTCGATTAAGTATCATTAATTTTCACTCTACCATGAATTTATCGTAAATCAATACGCAGTCATATAATTGTCTTAAATATTAATATAATAATGTTGTTTCTCACCTAAATTGCTCTGCGGAATTCAATAGAAGGCAAGCAGGTTGCGAGTCGTTGATTCTGAACAAATTTCACGATCACGCACAAAAATTACAATCGATTTCGTGAAATATCACAGGAAGAATTTAATTGCATTTTGCTATCAGCTGACTATGTCAAACTATCGAGTGCTTAAGAGTTCTTACCATGGGGAAAGAGAATATAGACAGACTTTCCCTATAAAACGCATTCAAAACATCAATGGTAGGAAACGCGGGAAAATTTAAATATGCAGTACTGATTCTGAACGTTTTATTCTGATGTTCTATTCTTATGACACTGTAAAAGATTATTTTCTAGAAAAATATGATTAAAAGTGGGAATTTCAAACAAAAAACAATAAGTCTATATTTGAAAACTAACATTATTAAAGGACTCAATAAATATACAAAATATTAACACCATCATTCCTTTTATTCTTTAACCAAAAAATGAAAGAAGTATTTTCACAATGTCACTAAGCAAAAATAATTTTCTATTAACAATTTTCTATCAAAAATTTTATTTTTCATTAAATTATAACAAATTACTATTTACATTTACTGTCGATTACAAGCTAATATGTATATGCATAACACAGTTACTGAGCATTTTATAAACATTTTAGTATACTCATTTCATGTCCATCAGAGTCCACTAAATTACCATAATCACTCAGAGGTAATCACACAATCTAGGGAGGCGAATTCTTTTCCATCTACTCCCGAAATTTGAATTAAAATAAAGTGAAGCTAAAAATAGCCAAAGCAATAAAGAACAAACGATTCTGCCCGCGTCGACAGATCACGACGACCACCCGTTCAAGCTCGTTGTTCATCCTAGTTGACCTCGGGTAGGAATCTCTAATCCATGATTCCGCTACGAGCAACCGGGTGATCGTCCATCGGCACAATCAACCCGACATGGCGACGCTCTAGTGCATCGATTCTCAAACAGTCGAACAATGAGCCCCTGGGGGGTCGTCAACGTCGTTAAAACTCTTCTACAATCATGCACAATTTCAAATCTGAAAAATATAATCCTGTAACGAGAGACAAAGTGAATTATCACCTCCTGTATTAATTTTCTTCACGATAAACCCTTTCAGAACAGAATAAACGTGAGAATAGAGATATAATTTTAGAGGATCATCGTGTGATGAAGCTTGAGAACCCACGGTCCTGGCGTTTACACGCACGTCGAACGTTTTCCCGGATGGCCCCACGGAAACCGGACACAATGGAGCTACTTCCGGTGAGCACAAGGCCAGAAATCGGACGTGGGGATCCCACCGCGCCTGTGTACCACCGGTCTGTTATCTCTCCTCCGCATTCTGCCCCCTATGGCTTGTCTATGCGAGAATCATTCATCGAAACGATTCTTCCATCACCGTCTACTCCCCTCCTGCCCCGATCTGGTCAGGTGTTATCCATTATTTCCACGGTTTGCGTCGATTTTGACCGTCAGTTTGATTACAGGTGCCATTCATGTTGGATGGACGGTTCTGGTGCATTTTGTCCAGTTCGTAAATTGAGGAGGAGGAGTTGGACTTTTGAGTTGAAGAGAAACTGTTCTTGTAAGGATCAGAAGTGGATAAACGAGAGAAATTTTGGACTGCGTCGCGTGAGTATAGTTGTGCATTATTTTGGTTGAACGAAATAAGAGAAAAGTGGAATTTACTATATGTTCTTTTCGGAGGCAATAATTGAGGAGATAGGTGCAATAAGAGAGTAGAAATGGTCGAGTGCAAAAAAGGCGTGAGTCGTAGTTCTTATTTTCCTTAATATATTAGTATTGTAATATTTGTATATATACTTGATAGATAAAGCGAAAAAATAAAATGTGTGTTCTTTCATTCAAAAAAATTTAATGGACTGTGATTTTCAAACATTTAAGTAATACTACCTCCTATTCATGTGAATGGTATTGCAGTCCTGGTATTTTCTCAAAATCGATTTTTTGCACTCGCTCCTTTCTTGTAATGTAAGATTGATAGTTGAATTTTTATGTATTACGAACGTTCCCAAGATAGCGAAATAGAAATACTTCAACTGAGAACTTAGGTTGATAACTTTTATCTGCTATTACAATCCCCATTATATGGCTTGTCTTTGAAGCATAACTGCAAATCAACGAAAATTATATACAATTTTCTATACTGAACGAGGATTTATCAGATTTTATGCTAATATTATTTTATTTTATGGAAGTAAAAGTGCTCTATAAATTTAAGATTATTGTAATTAATTCGTAACAAAATAACATTTTATATGTTCGTGTAAGGAAGTTGAAACCATTTTTTTTTTTTTAAGTTAAAACAATTGCTTCTTCAAATACTAATTCGTGGGATGACTACATCCTTCCAACGTCTGACGAGTATTAATATCGCGTAATCGAAGAGATTCAAAATTGTTCGAAGCACGCAACAATGTTATCTATGTAACATCTCAAATTCAAGGCACCGGGATAATAGCCTTGTTATGCGGTTCATAACAAGATTTCTGCAAAAAATTGAACTTGTGGTAACAGCAATGTTTCAACACAGAAAAAAAGAACGTATTTTCCCGAAACTTTAAATCTAATAAATAAAAAATTGAACCAAACATATTATAAACAACATTCTTAAATTGATTTAAACAATTTAGAAAAACATCTATTGTTAAATGGTACTTTTTAACAGAGATACAGGTAATTATTTCTTCGAATATTTGTACTTGATAATTGTAACAATTAGCAACACGTTTATTTATTAAACGAAGGGTACAATTACGCAAATTCAATAATTTGTAATCATAATATACGGGTAATTCAAATGACCGAATCTATAATTTTCGCTCGTCGACCGTAACGTTAATCACTGAACAAGCATCCATCCTCCTCGGGCAGAGAACTATAATTATCGAGGCGATAAACCATAACGTAATTAATAAGCAGCGTTTCTGCACGATACACGTACAGCGTTCGATGCATCTAATGGACAAGCACGTGTGTGGCGGTTGACAATTTGCAAATTAGAGCGTTTTCTTGATAAATGTGTATTGCAAGCTCGGGCTATTCGAGAAAAAAACTACATTCGCAAATACGAATAAATAAAAAGCCTAACTAAAAATATATAATTAAATTATGAAAATATAATTTCATTTAATCACTAAAATTAAAATTGCTTTATTACTGTTTAAAAATAAAATTAATACTCCATTATTCTAAATAGTTATTTCACAAGATTGCCAATATTTTAATTAAACAGTTTTATTACTGCGCTACTGTTTTAAGTATATCACAGTATAATATAATATAAAAATTATAAATATTAGAAGCTTATAATGTTAAAATACTAAAATATTCAAAATACGATTTAGTATCATTGAGTATTATACCAGTAACCGAAAACAGCAGTTATTTTTCAAATTTTAATTTAAAACATCCTTGAGAAAAAGTTATTTGTTAAGTTGAAGCATAAAGACGACGAAAAGAAAATGTCCATGATCGACATTATGCAGATATTGTTTATTTGTAACGAAAATCATTTAAGTCGAGAAAATAATTGTTATTCTATAACTTTTTTATATTAAGGTTATAACAATGATGGTCTCCGTTTATACACTTCCGGTCCCTCATTATTTCTGCATTTCTGGTCTCAACTTTCTTACGTACACTAGTATATCCAGACTCCTTTCATTCTTTTTTCAACATTCATATAATCCGAAAGCGAATGAATCCAAGTATCCTCCGTGAAAGGTGTCCGTGTAAAGCATCTCGCGTCCGCCTTATGGAAAAGTTACTTTGAAGCGAGGGGTAAGCGACGCAGAAGACGCGTTCTGAGCCGTACTGGACGTTCCGATATATTCAAAGTGCACAGAGACAGTGCAAGGTTTTATGGAATTCCTGAGTTGCACTCACCCTGAACACCTCCACACTCTCGCACACCCGTGAACCTTTTCTCCGACGCTTTGGCGTGCACGTACACGCGGTAAAGGACCAGCACACGCCCGTAAAACCAACGAACCGTGCTTCCAACTTTCAAGCATTACATTATTAGTTGACTAGTATTTTTTCGATTACTGTCACCACAAACAAAATTGCGGAGAAGATTGATTTGCACAGGTGATTGTGAAAATGGTCGACAAGGAAAATTTTCGTAGCTATACACGTCGAGTTTCGTGAAATTCATGTGGGAGATTATTCACTGAACAATATAAGACACGTATTTTTTTTATTGACAATTGTTCGTATAGGAGGAGTGAAAACAGTCCTCAAAATTGGGGGTTGAAAGAATACATTTTGGAATATCTTGGAAATTAGAGGGTATAGGAAAGAATCTTTTTTTAGTTTGAATAAGATTATTTGGATTAAAATAAATTACTGGGTGGTGCACATAAAACTAGCACCAAACACAAAATATATCTATTTTACAATTATATTTTGTACAAAGATAAAAATGATGACAAACGTGTAAATTGTTTAAATTAAAAATACCGTTTATTTATCGTACCTAATATAACTCAAATGCACAGTATCAAATGAAACTGTAATACTGCGTTCTTACTGCGTGTAATATTTTGCGTTTAGGGCCGGTTTTATGTGCGTTATCCGGTATTTTTAGTAATAGTATGAACTTTAGTGTGAGAACACTAATTTTATTACTATATACAATTCTGAAGAACGAATCAAGTAGTAAAAACTGAAATTTTTCAACGACATTTCGTTCTAGAATTTCATCATTATTGGAATGCCTGCTTGATGCTGAATTTTAATCAACAAAAATGAAGAAGACCAATATATCGAATCTGCTGCAATCCATCTCCGTTCTCGCTACTTTGAAGGTGGTCGTTAATGGTAAGTCAACAATTATTTAATTAACTATCCAATTATCCTAACCAATTGGAAACCCATTTGGGACAGTTGACCCCATAAAAGAACATGTCAATACTTGGCCAAATTAAATCAAAAAAATATAAATTTAACATTAATGCTATTGTAGTGAAAATAGCTAAGAATAAGCAAAATACAATTTTTGGGCCAGAAACAAAATTTGGACCCAAATTCGTTAAATATAATAAGAGAATAAGCAGATCAAGATTCCAGAAAACCAATGAAAATTTACCAACCCTCGTACCAGTGTTGGGCGAATGAAATTTTATTAATTATTCGATTTCAATTGCATATTCGTTTATTAGTAATGACAAGAAAAAACTTATTTATTCGTTATTTTTATGTTCGAAACAATTAATATTTTCGGTTCATTTTGAAGAACAGCCACTTGTCCGGGCTAGTTAGAACCTCTCCGACGAATAGTGGTCCGAATCGACAAAGGAGGATGTTAAAAATAGGCCAATTTTGGCATACGGCCGGAACGAAAAATTTTTTTACAACTTGATTCTACCCATCCTAAGGAAGAAAAAATTTAATTGCCATTTTTTCCGGAAATGATGAGAAAGTTATGAAAAATGCGGTTCAAGGAAAGAGTATGACCATACTTATATTCCGTCTCGTTTTCTTCGGACGATGGTCTGTTCGTAAATTAACCACTTTGAAAATCATATTGAGTATTAATTGCAAAGATTGTTGTACATTAGAGTTTAATAAAAACCAAAAATAATGAAAAATAATTAATGACAAATTAATCGAAACAAGGAATTGTTTGATGACACAATGCTTATATTCTAAGCAATCAGAAACCAATAATTATTTATTCTAGAAGTGATAAAAGTTATAATAAACTATCGTAAATACAATAAAATAATCGCCATGACAGGGATACAATAAAAAAGTAAGACTCTGACAGAATTTGCATTTCTTAACTGAGTATCCACTATGAAAGTCAGAGAAAAAGGTATGATCTTAAATATCGGTCTAAACATATATGTATATGCATACAGTGTTCTGTCGAACTACGCGTAGGTTTGGAGACATCGACTGTCCGCGTAAATGAAAATCCGCGTAGTTGGGAACAATCCCCCAGTTTTACGGAAAACTGAAGTCCGATCATCTGCACTGCGTGTCAATTGTCGTATATTGTCATTAGAATAATAACAAACGAAATAGGTCATATGTAAAGACTTAGTTGTTTACTAAGAGACAGTGTTTTTCCAGAAAAGGATAGAATATGTATATGTCTCGGGGAGACTACAGTAAAAAAACTAATTTGTTGTTGTTTCATAGCTGTAACACATCTTATTACAAGAAAAATAAACTTAGGATACGATAAAATGAAATTTTTGCAGTAATTAATATAATTAGCTACACGTGGACTCTCCTCTATTTTCAATTAACCCAATCATTCACGCATACGCATACTGTGAAACGGTAGCTGTGTAGCTCGCAGAGACACGCTCCTCGTTTGATTTTTCTCCCAAGTTGAGCTGTTCGCTGTGTACTTGAATTCGGTTCACTAGCTTCTTGTATCCAGCGGCACTTAATTCACACGAACGAATATGCTAAGTACGTAAAGTGATTCGAAATCCGCGTATAATCGAAAACGCTTTATTCGAGGGAGCACTGAATTTTCTACAAACTATGATAGCACGGTACAAACGTCGTTCGTCGACGCACTCGTTCGGTAGGCCCGTAAGCACTAACTGCGTACGTGACGATCTTCCCGATTTCTGCTCCCTGTTACACGAAGCATTTCTGGGAAAAATCCTAGACGTGTTAGTGACCCTCAAGTATGTACTTGGGCCTAGTCAACCTCACGTACCAAAACATTGCGCGAGGCTCGCGATGTTTTTTGCTAGTGAAACATAAGAAACTCGAGCAAAACAGAAGAAATTCGAGCCGAACGTATGAAACTCGAGCCAGAATCGCTGTCTATTATATGGAAGTAAATACGAAGCTACGTGCCATTTTGAAAGTAAAACTATCGGGAGTTGCTCTCGAGAGTATCTCTCGCGAGTGGACACTGCCCCTGAGCTTGACTGTCAAGAGCATAGCTCAACTGTCTGAGAGTAAACGTGTCGAGACTTGCTCTCGAAGAGAGACGTAATCATACTACTGTGGAACCGTTGCTTTCCAAAGACGAAGTATTTTAGTATTCTTGAGAGAAGTCTTGTGCAAGTAAAAAATGTCAGGAAAAAAAGATTGATCCAGAAATGAGACACGCTTCTCGTTTGATTTTTCTCCCAAGCTGAGCTGTCCGTTGTGTACTTGGATTCGGTGCACTAGCTTCTTGTATGCAGCGGCACTTAATTCACACGAACGAATATGCTAAGTACGTAAATTGATTCGAAATCCGCGCATAATCGAAACCGCTTTATTCGAGGGAGCACTGAATTTTCTACAAAACTACGATCGCACGGTACACACATCCTTCGTCGACGCACTCCTTCGGTAGGACCGTAAGCACTAACTGCGTACGTGTCGATTTCTGCTCCCTGCTACACGCAAGCAGTTCTGGGAAAAATCCTAGACGTGTTAGTGACCCTCAAGTATGTACTTGGGCCTAGTCAACCTCACGTACCAAAACATTGCGCGAGGCTCGCGATATTTTTTGCTAGTGAAACATAAGAAAGTCGAGCCAAACATAAGAAATTCGAGCCGAACGTAAGAAACTCGAGCCATAATCGTTGTCTGTATTATATCGAACTAAACACGAAGCTACGTGACATTTTGAAAGTAAAACTATCGTGAGAGAGTATCTCTCGCGAGTGGACACTACCCCTGAGCTTGACTGTCCGAGAGCATAGCTGAACTGTCTGAAAGTAAACGTGTCGAGACTTGCTCTCGGAGAGATACGTAATCAGACTACTGTCGAACTGTTGCTTTGAAAAGACGAAGTAGTTTCGTATTCTTGAGAATACTCTTGCGCGAGTAAAAAAATGACAGGAAAAAAAGATTGATCAAGAAATGAAATTACCGATTTAATCACTCACTCTTCGTTGAAGAAAAATCGGTGTTGTGGAATCCAAAGGATGTAGAATATCGTAACAGAGAAAATTGTGAATATATGATAAATATGTAAATTGATTCGAAATGAACGTCAAAATTTTTCAAAAAAATATCCGCGTATAATCGTGTAAAACGCGTTGTTCCAGCGAGCACTGTATTCCCTACAAGACTATAATCGCGCAGTATAAGCGACGTTCGTCGAGGCACTCGTTCCACCGCCTCGTAAACACCGACTGAGGACGAGTCGTCCTGCCCGATTTCCGTACGCTGTACGCTCGCAACTGTTCTGGGAAAAATTCTAGGCCTTAACTTCTTAGATCTCGTGATATTTCTTGTGAGTCAAACATAAGAAACGCGAACCTGGGTCGCTGTACGTACATCGAGATAAACATAAGCTAGCTGTCTGTTCGCGCACAGAAAAGAGTTAGCGGGAAAAGAATTTTCTGATTTTATATTACTTTTATTGGCAAAACCGAGAACAAACGTCACGCACGTGGTCTTAATACAATGCAGTACGCCATACTTTTTTTCGCTCGACGCATGCGCGATTGCCGCTCCCAACGCCGCTCGGCGGACGTACGCCGATCACGGTAAAAAGACGCACCCCTTTTAAATTCAAACCGTTACACTGTCCTTTTTAGAGTAAAACTGTCGCGAGTTGCTCGCGAGTGGACACTGCGTCTGAGAATTACGACTCGAATAAACAATTGCTTTGCAAACACGATACTCATAGGATACACGATACCCGGAGGGTATACTCATAGAAGGAAGTTTTCAATAATTCAAAATTGAACATATTGGTAGGTACTTATTG